AGATAAAGACACTACAAAGGAGAATTACAGGTCAATATCCCTGATAAACATACACGCTAAAATCCTCAACAAAATATTAGCAAATTGGATCCAGAAATATATTGAAAAGACCATACAACATGACCAAGTGGGATTTTTTCCAGGGATGCAAGGCTGGTACAATATTCACAAATCAATAAATGTGATAGATCATATAAACAAATTGAAAGACAAAAATCACATGATCAACATGCAGAAAAAGCATTCAACAAAATCTAATACCCATTTCTGATAAAACCTCTCAGCAAAGTGAGAACAGAGGGGGGGATATCTTAACACTAGAGGCCTGATGCACAAAATTCATGCAAGGGGCTCGGCTCTCACAGCCACAGCGGCTGGTCTTGGCCCTTGCAGCCCCGGCTTCGCCCGGAAGAATATCCAGTCTAATTAATATATTATGCTTTTATTATTATAGATGATAAAGGACATATATAACAAACCTACAGCGAACATCATACCTTATGGGCAAAACTAAAAGCATTTCCCCTAAGAATAGGAACAAGACAGGGATGTCTACTTTCACCACTCTTATTCAACATAGTACTGGAAGTCCTAGACACAGTCATCACACAAGGAAAAGAAAAGGCATCCAAATTGGAAAGGAGGAAGTAAAACTCTCATTATTCACAGATGATATGATATTGTACATAGAAAACCCTAAAGACTCCACCAAAATACTTCTATCTCTTATATATAAAAGGCCCGTGTCTGTCACGCCGTAACACCATCATGACCAAACAAGCAGCGACTCTCATGTCGGGCAGAAGCTACTAGCGGCGGAGAGCTACACGCAGCGGAGGGCGGGGCAGCGAGCTACTCACCCATGATTTTGTGTGCGCTGGGCCTCTAGTATTTAATAAATGAATTTGGCAATGTAGCAAAATACAAAACCAAACCCCCCCATAATTGATGGCTTTTTTATACACCAATTAGAGGCCCATTGCACGGATTCGTGCACCAGTGGGGTCCCTCGGCCTGGTCTGCTCCCTCTCATAATCTGGGACCTCTTGGGGGATGTTGGACTGCTGGTTTCATCCTGATCCCTGCAGGCAGGCCGAGGGACCCCACCCCATATGCCTCTAGTATGCATATGAGATCTTTGGCTAATCTCTTCCCGTCCTCCCCCTCGCCCCTGAGATTCATCATTCTGTTCCATGTTTCCATGCCCCTGCATTGAGCGTCTGCCCCCTGGTGGTCAGTGTGCGTCATAGCTAGTGGTCAAACAGTTGCTTAGGCATACACACACACACACACACACACACACACACACACACATACTAGAGGCCCAGTGCACAAAAATTTGTGCACTCGGGGGGGAGGGGGTGTCCCTCAACCTGGCCTGTGCCCTCTCACAGTCTGGGACCGCTTTGGGGGTGATCACCTGCTGGCTTAGGCCCACTCCCCGGGGGGAATGGGCCTAAGCTAGCAGTCAGACATCCCTCTGGCAGCCTGGGAGCCCTCGGGGGATGTCCACTTGCCAGTGGGGAGCAGGCCTAAGCTGCAGTCGGACATCCTTAGCACTGCTGAGGAGGCAGGAGAGACTCCCACCACCACCACTGTACTGGCAGCCGTCAGCCTAGCTTGTGGCTGAGCAGAGCTCCCCTGTGGGAGCACACTGACCACCAGGGGGAAGCTCCTGCATTGAGCGTCTGCCCCCTGGTGGTCAGTGTGAGTCATAGTGACCAGTCATTCCCAGGCATTCTGTTAGGGTCAATTTGCATATTACCCTTTTATTATATAGGATAGAGGCCTGGTGCACGGGTGGGGGCAGGCTCGTTTGGCCTGAAGGGTGTCCTGGATCAGGGCGGGGGTCCCGCTGGGGTGACTGGCCATCCTGGGTGAGGGGCTGAGGGCCGTTTTCAGGCTGGCCACACCCCATTCAGGGTGGGGGGGTCCTGCTGGGGTACCTGGCCAGTCTGGGTGATGGGCTGGTGGCTGTTTGCAGGCTGGCCAAGCCCCCCAGCGGGGACCATCACCCCATGAGGATGTGGCCATCCTGGGTGAGGGGCTGATAGCTGCTTTCAGGCTGGTCACGGCCCCCGGCCACCCAAGCTCCCAGTGGAGGCTGGCTGGAAGAAGGTATCTGGGATTTATTTAGCTTCTATAATTTAAACTTTGTTGCCTTGAACAGAGGCCACAGCCTGTCAGGGCAGGTGGGAAGCTTGGCTTCCTCCATCGCTGGGGAACCAAGCCTCCTGCTTGCTCCAGCTCCGTGGCTGCCGGCTGCCATCTTGGTTGGGTTAATTTGCATATAGTCGCTCTGATTGGCTGGTGGGTGTGGCTTGGGGCATAGCACAGGTGTGGTCAATTTGCATGTGTCTCTTTTATTAGATTAGATAATTAAGTATCAAAAAGAGAAACTAAACAAACAATGCCATTTACCATTGCAACAAAAATTAAGATAATTAGAAATAAACTTAACCAAGGAGGTAAAAGACTTGTACTGGGAAAACTACAGGATGTTGAAAAAAGAGATAGAAGACATACACAAGTGGAAGAATATATAGTATACATGGATTGGTAGAATCAACATCATTAAAGTGTCCATACTACCCAAGGCAATCTTACAGAATCAATGCAATCCGTATTAAAATATCAACAGCATATTTCACAGATCTAGAACAAATATTCCAAAATTTTATATAGAACCAAAAAAGATCCTGAATAGCCACAGCAATCCTGAGAAAGAAAAACAAAGTTGGAGGGATCACAATACCAGATATCAAGTTATACCACAAAGCCACTGTAATCAAAACAGCCCGGTACTGGTCGAAGAACAGACATAGAGATCAATGGAACAGAACAGAGAACCCAGAAATTGACCCAAACCATTATACTCAATTATTATTTGACATGGGAGGCAAGAGTATAAAATGGAGTCAAGACAGTCTCTTCAATAACTGGTGTTGGGAAATTTGGACATACACATGCAAAAAATGAAACTAGACCACCAACTTATACCGTATGCAAGAATAAACTCAAAATGGATAATAGAATTAAATGTAAGTCGTGAAACCATAAAAATCCTAGCAGAAACCATAGGCAGCAAAATCTCAGCCATCTCTAGTAGCAATATGTTTAAGGATATATCTCCTAGGGCAAAGGAAAATAAGGAGAAAATAAACATATGGGACTACATCAAAATAAAAAGCTTCTGCACAGCAAAAGAAACCATCAACAAAACGAAAAGGGAGGTCACTATATGTGAGAACATATTTGGCAACGATACATCTGATAAAGGGTTAATATCCAAAATATATAAGGAACTCATACAACTTCATAAAAGGAAGACAATCCAATTAAAAAATGGGCAAAGGACCTAAATAGACACTTCTCCAAAGAGGACATACATACAGATGGGCAGGAGACCTATGGAAACATGCTCAAAGTCAGTGATCATCAGCGAGATGCAAATTAACAATGAAGTAGCACCTCACACCTGACAGAATGGCTACCAGCAACAAGTCAATAAATGACAAGGGCTGGCGAGGATGTGGAGCAAAGGGAACCCTAGTCCAACGCTAGTGGGAATGCAGACTGCTGCAGCCATTATGGAAAACAGTATGGCTTTCCTCAAAAAATTAAATATAGAATTGCCATTTGACCCAGTGATCCCACTTCTAGGAATATATCTTAAGAATCTTAAATCAGAAAGAATGTATGCACCCCTATGTTGGTAGCAGCACAATTTACAATAGCTTAAGATCTTGGAAGAAACCCATCAGATTGGATTAAAAAAAAAGCTGTGATACATTTATAGCATGGAATACCATGCAGCAGTAAAAAAGAAGAATATCTTATCCTTTAAGACAGCATGGAGGGACCTGGAGAGAATCATGCTAAGTGAAATAAGTTAGTCAGAGAAAGACAAGTGTCACATGACCTCACTCACATGGGGAATCTTAGAAAATAAACTGTTGAACGGAATGGATCCAGAGACATGGAAGCATGGAACAGAGTGCAGAATCTCTGAGGGAAGGCGGGGGAGGGAAGAACTTGTATTCATATATGCATAACCCATGAAAACAGACAATAGGGAGGTTAAAGCCTGGGGTGAGGGGAGGGGGTGGGCTGGAGAGAGTCAGTGGGGGTAAAAGAGGGGACATATGTAATACTCTCAACAATAAAGATTTTAAAAAAATAAGTTAATGTGAGCATTCTTTTATTTTTAGCAACTATCACTATAAATAGTAATAATAATGACAGTCGTGGCTTATCAAGAACTGGCTCATTTGTTTAAAATAGGTTTTGAAAAAACGGTCCACCCCCCAAATTAAATTCCTTTAAAGGGAACAATAAACCTCAGATCTGAGTTTATACAACAGCTAGCCTGACTTGAGAGTACCTTTAATCTTGGCTATCCAGTCTACAGATTCATTGATTTTACTGGAAAAACAAAATTCCAAGATTAAGTCCTATCACTATCGGTATATTACAGCTCACAGTATTATTATCTTTCTACCCATGGATAGCATTACTCTTAATCCGTTTAAAAGGAAAATATTACAAAACCCTTAAAAGGGTATGCACTTATATTCCTGCCATACAGGTGATATGTAACGTTCAATGGATTTCCCTAAAGTCACACAGGGCAAAGATAGATGAAAACGCTATTTCTATTCGATATTTATAGTACTTGCAAAGAAGCGCTCCTTAACTGTGGCTGTGTGCGTGAAAATAACTGTTTCACTGGTTAAGATTACTAACAGAACTCTTTAGAGACCTTCAGTGGAGGGAGCATGGCAAACAGCACGACATCAGGAATTAGGAAATACAGGACGGCACATTCCCAGTATCCAGCTGTGAAATTTCACTGAGCTTCAAAAAGCCTAATATATAAAAGAAGCTGTACCACTTTTTAAGGCTCTCTCTCTTACAACACCAAAATGGATGAATCAATGATTTTCGTTTGTTTAATAACAGCAAAAATGTGCTGAATGCTTATTATGGACCAGACACTCTTCTCAGCATTTGAGATGCCTGTGTGAGTGACAAGCTTTGACTCATGATCCCCACGGCGACTCCACAGGGTAGGGATGGATCATCACTAGCCTCACTTTATGGATGAAGCAGCGGGGGCCGCGCACTCACTAACTGGGTCAAAGCCTCAGAGCAGGCGGCGGCAGAACCAGGATGCAAATCCAGGGAGCCTGGCTCTGGAATTATCACATGGCCCTGGGAGTGTCAGAAGTCCCCGCGCTCAGGTAACATTCCGCTCCCCCAGCCCCGCGGGCTCCAGGGCGGGTTCGGCCTCCTTCGGCACTGCCCCCTTCCGGTAGCTGCCCAGCCGGCGGGGACTACCGGCCTCCGCGGCGCGGCCCGGCCCGGCCCGCCTCCCGAGCGGGGAGGCGAGTGACCAGCCGGAGTCCGCAGCCCCCGCCAGAGGGAGGCCGAGAGGAGGAGGATGACCGCCCGCCACTCCTGCCACCTACCACCCTCTCGGGTCTCGGACCAGCGGCCCGGGTCCCAGTCGTTGCCGGCCCCCGCGTTCACCTGCGGTCCGGCTCCGGCCCGGGGGTGTCAGGTGAAGGCCCCGCGGCGCCGCCCGCGCCGAGCTCGGAAGTCCGGCGGCTTCGTCTCGGCGGCTGGGGTGGCTTCTGGGCCGCCAGCTCGGGCTCCATGGCGCGCAGGGGGATGGGGCAGTGGCCGGGTGCCCGGGAAGTCCGCCGGGACGGGCACCGTGCCCAAGCACTTCTGTCCGGACAGAAGTTTCTGTCAGGAATGAGCCGCCGCCGCTGCCGCCGCCATCTTCCGGGGTTTGAAAATGGTGGCCGCTCTGCGGCCAGCCAATCATGGGACAGCCCGGCGGTTGCTAGGAAACGTGAATCCCGCCCCCTCCCTCTCCCCGCCCCTCCTGGCGCCCTAGAAGCGGGAAAGGGAAGAGGGTTGGAAGGAACAGCCCTGCAGATTAGTTGGGTGGCCTTGGATTTTATTCTATTCCTGAATCCCAAGGCCCGATACCTATTTCACTGTTCATTAGGACTTTCACCGCAGGCCAAGGCACAAGAAAGGTCGAAAATAATGACCTAAGATGAGGTTTGGGACATGTACGCTAAATTATTCATGTAAAATAGCCCCCCAATTACCAAAGGTAATGGGAAGTATTAGGGCTGTCTCTAGGAAACCATTAAAATCAAATGATGAGCCCTCTTCTCTCCCAGAGTGGAAGAGACAGTCTCTCTTCAGCAAGAGAGTGAAGAAGGCAGCGAAAGAGTGAAGAAGGCAGAACATCAAAATAAGGACCTTTTCAAATAAAAAAAGACAATTCTTAAGTAGCACATTGTTTCCTATTTTAAACATTGCTTTTTATATGTACAAGGCTTTAAATTAACCTCTCCTGTGACACTATGATTCCGTTTCTGGGAATCTATCCTAGGAAATAGAACTACATGTACATTGAAGGGTGGCAGAATATGTCACCCAAAATATGCTACTTGGAGATTAGGATTATTTTGAGTTACAGGCACTTGAAGAACACCGGGTGCAAGAAGAGTACGCTCACTTTCCCCTTTCTTCCTGAAAGTGGGAGATAGAACTCCCATGTGAAAGCTGCCTTCCCTGTACCTGGAGGAGAGAAACATTATTCCTGGAATGGGAGGAGCCAAGAGAGAGTGAATTCTGTACAAAAAGACTTTATTAAAATAACTCTTATCTTCTTCTTTAGTCTCTCTCTCTCTCTCTCTCTCTCTCTCTCTCTCTATATATATATATATATATATATATATACACACACACACATATATACATGTATATGTTCATTTTCCCCAGTTGCCTCTCTTCCTTTGACCTAGCATATACGCACTAAGATTTTGCCTCTTCTTTGGGTCTTAATTTTCCTATGGGGGCTCCCATGTACATGTAAAAGTCTGTTTGCTTTTCTCCTATTAATCTGTCTTCTGTCATTTTAACTGAAATACTGAACCAGATATCCTAAGAGGACAGAAGTAAAGTTTTGTTTCCCCTACAATATGAAGATGTTAATGGCATTGTTATTTAATGGCATCAGAAAAAGTAAAGGTTATCTAAATATAAAATGATAGGGAAATTGTTAATTATGGTGGATCCACTGGAAAGAATATTTTGGGGCAATAGAAATTAACTATGGCCCTAAACGGTTTGGCTCAGTGGATAGAGCATCGGCCTGCGGACCAAAGGGTCCCAGGTTCCATTCCGGTGAAGGGCATATACCTTGGTTGCGGGCACACCCCCAGTGGGAGGTGTGCAGGAGGCAGCTGATCAATGTTTCTCTCTCATCAATGTTTCTAATTCTCTATCCCTCTCCCTTCCTCTCTGTAAAAAAACAATAAAATATATTTAAATAAAAATTAACTATGAAGTGTGTACAGAATAGTATATTGTGATTTTTAAATTAAAATCTGGTATATAGAGGCACATTAATATATTCAGAGTTATGAAGTATAAGAGATTTAATAAAGGAAAAGATGAAATCAATATATTAAAATGTCTGTAACCAGTATCACAATTTTCTTCTTATATTTATAATTATTTTTTAATCATGTGGCACTGAACTTGTATTACATTTATAACACAAGGGAAACAATTTTAGCTTTAAGAAAAGCTTAAGAAGTTAAGAAAGTAAGATGCCTATAGTTAAGAACCACCTCTTTTCTACCTTATCCTACCTTCACCCCCAAAATTAAAGAGGAAAGTATTGCTTTTTAGCAGTTGGAGTAAAACAATACAGACATACAGTGTGGGGAGTTGGTCTCCACCCGACAGAGCTTCATAGGATGCACACTTTTAGATCATACCATGTGAAGTCGCTGAAATTTGACCTTTTAAAACTGCAGTAACGTCATTCTAACCCAGTACTTCAGTAAGGTCTTCAGAAGTTAGAGTGTCAGTTCTGCAATTCTTAAAACTGGTTCTGATAGTGTAATTGGAGATAGGCAATCTGTAATAATCAATTTGCAAAGTGACAGATAATCCCGGATGTTGATGTGGGGATTCTCAGTGGGGAGAGATTTCTTTCCAGTGATCAGAATACTGTTGTTTTCTGCAGAGCACTTCTTTTCAATTTTCAGATACTTGGGAACTTACTATTTTGTTTAATTATTCACAAATATTTATTGAATTCCTACATATTATGCCAGGCCCTAGTGCTAGATACACTAGGGAAACTATGAGTAGAAGACAAATTTTAATAACAAAATAGCTGGGTATCCTAGAAGCAGAGTGAAAGAAAGTGGACCATTCTGAGGGTTAGTCATTCAAGACATGAAAAAAGCCATGCGAACTGTCTTGATTCTACAAGATATAAACTTTCTGGTGTCAGAATGCCCCTGCCCCCAAAGGCAATGCTTTACTCTGCCTTAGAACAGTATTGAATATGTGACAAATGTTCCCTGAATCCTCTTTTTCTCAGCTCCTTGTAAACTCCAATAACAAATTCTTCAGAGCAGAGGTTGAGGGAATCGATTAAATTTCAGCTTTTATAGTATACTAGAGGCCCAGTGCATGCGTTCATGCACCAGTGAGGTCCCTCGGCCTGGCCTGTGCCCTCTCGCAATCTGGGACCCCTTGTGGGATGTCAGAGAACCAGTTTCAGCCAGATCCCTGCAGGCCAGGACGAGGGACCCCCACCGTGCACCAGGTCTCTAGTACGCATATAAGATCTTTGGTTAATCTCTTCCTGCTCTCCCCCCTTCCCCCTTCCTTCTGAGATTCATCAGTCTGTTCCACGTTTCCATGCCTGTGGTTTCCACTCCTGCATTGAGCATCTGCCCCCTGGTGGTCAGTGTGCGTCATAGCTACTGGCTGGTCAGCCAGTCACTAAGGCTTATCTATATATGCTAGAGGCCCGGTGCACAAAAATTTGTGCACTCCGGGGGGTGGGGTCCCTCAGCCTGGCCTTTGCCCTCTCACAGTCTGGGACCCCTCGGGGGATGACCACCTGCTGGCTTAGGCCTGCTCCCTGGGGGATTGGGCCTAAGATGGCAATCAGACATCCCTCTGGCAGCCCAGCAGCCCTTGGGGAATGTCCACTTGCCAGCAGGGAGCAGGCCTAAGCTTTAGTCGGACATCCTTAGCGCTGCTGAGGAGGCAGGAGATGCTCCTACCACTACCGCTGTACTGGCAGCCATCAGCCTGGCTTGTGGCTGAGCAGAGCTCCCCCTGTGGGAGCGCACTGACCACCAGAGGTCAGCTCCTGCACTGAGCGTCTGTCCCCTGGTGGTCAGTGTGAGTCATAGTGACCAGTCATTCCTAGTCTTTCTGCTGTTAGGGTCAGTTTGCATATTACCCTTTTACTATATAGGATAGAGGCCTGGTGCACGGGTGGGGGCTGGCTGGTTTGCCCTGAAGGGTGTCCCGGATCATGGTGGGGTCCCCACTGGGGTGCCAGGCCAGTCTGGGTGAGGGGCTGAGGGCTGTTTTCAGGCTGGCAGGCCACTGAAGCTCCCAGTCTCTCTCTCTTTTTTTCTTTTTTTATTAAATTCTGGGATGTATTTACCTTCTATAATTGAAGCATTGTTGCCGTCACTGGCGCTCCCAGCTCTGAGGCCACGGCTGGCTGAAAGCAGGTATCTGGGGTTTGTTTAGCTTCTATAATTAAAACATTGTTGCTTCCGGAGCTCAGAGCCGGGCGGCGGCAGGCGGGGAACCTTGGCTTCCTCCATCACTGGAGCAAGCAAGCCTCATGTTCGCTTCAGCTGTGTGGCTTCCGGCCGCCATCTTTGTTGGCAGTTAATTTGCATATCACCCTGATTAGGCAATGGGAAGCGTAGTGGAGGTACGGTTAATTACCCTTTTGTCTTTTATTAGATATTTAGATAGATATTTAGAATCTAGACTTCCCTTCCTAAGAAGGTATTCTCATTATCTTAGTTAGACCTAAATATGTTCCAAGTTTTTCAACCACAGATTTACTGCCATAGGTATGCAAATATTCTCTTGGGGGACTTCCTCAAAGATTATTTTTAAAATCTTTGACTATATGCAATGACACTACTCATCATGTATGTTGATATTAAATTGATATTTAACAATTTGTATACTAATATCAATTAATATGTAAATCAATAATTCTAAAATCTATTTTTTTACATTATCTAAACAAATTAAACTCTGTGTTTGTAAAACTCTTACTAAATGATACATGTTCTGGTTTCAGCAACCAGTAAAGCCACATGGTATGTACCAACTGTATATAACTTGGGTTATAGAAGAAAGATGCTGGGGATGGGTAGTTCTTGCCAGCTCCATGTTCTTTTTTTTCTGCCACTTCCAACAATTTGATTTACCATTTTGCATCACAGACATTTCAGTTCTTTTATCAAACCCTCAGATTAATGTTTTGCAGAAAAATCAGAATTGGAAGAATGACTTAAAGATATGGTAGCTATGATTTCTTAAGCTTCCAAAGGGAAGATTCCTCTTATGATAAATTTATTTTAAAAAGAAAACTTTCTCTTTTTTTAATCCTCACCTGAGGATATTTTTTTCCATTGCTTTTCAGAGAGAGTGGAAGAGAGGAAGGGGAGGCAGGAGGGAGAAGAAGGAAGGAAAGGAGAGAGAGAGACAAACATCCATGTGAGAGAAACAAATCAACTGGTTGCCTCCCATACGAGTCCCAACTGGGGGTGGGGAGGGAACCCACAAT